TTTTCGTATTGCCATTAATCCATTAATAGATTCACTCTTTATAAAAAGAAAGAAATTCATATATAAACATAGTGATTGTATAAGAAAGCATATCAATTATCTGTTCACTTGTAAGACTACATGAAAACAGAGTTCCCAATAAAACCTTTTCATGCATTTCATCTTTGAATTTCTCCAACTGTTTCGTGTTTTTTCCTAGTAAATAGTTTCGTTGACAATGCACAAATTTTCTAAGGCCCTGATCAAGTTGATCCAATGATAACTCTTTATTAAGCCATAATACCGACTGTTCTGTCAACTTTCGTTGACACTCATCCATTTCCTTTTTGATACTTGTCAGATATTTCCCAAGATGTTCTTGACATAATTGGGAATTCTTTGTCTTTACCATCATATGCAGTTGCTTCTTTAAGTTTTCATCAAAAACCAATTATACTATAGGAATGAGTTTTTTATGAAACTTACTAGCCATTGACCATGCTGTATACCAATATCTAGATATGATTGCCATAATTGTTGCTCCACTTGTAGGCAATAGTCTTCATCGAATAAATGAAGTCGGTTATATATAAATCGTTGTTCGTCGTCTTTCTTAAAGGTATAATTTAATGGTTTGCTTATCATTTGAATAAGTATGGACAGTGATCGTTTTAAATAGAGCGGTCGTCTGTATATCCAAAAAACAAAGCATATATATATAGAGAGAGAGTTATATAAATCGATAAAAAAAAATTAACCGATAATTTCTGTTTGCAGTATTTCTGTTGACTTTCATAGGCGAAACAGCCATTTTCTGTTTCTTTTTCATCCTTTTCATTGGCGGTTGAAAAACAGAGATTGAACTTGTAGATTTTGTTAATCCGCAATTTAGATTTAATTGTGGTAATGATGCTTCTCGTTTGCGTTTTGTTTTATTTATTTTTGACTTTTTCTGTTCCGATGATCGTTTATTTTTGCGAATAGATACATTCTTCAATGTGGTGGCTTCAACATTATCATCGATTGCGTTTGTTGTCGTATCGTTTCTTAATTTTGTCTTGTTTTTGTTCTTCTTTCTTTGGTTTCGCTTTTCAATTAATTTTTCAATTTTTTCCGGTTTTATACCACGTGCACGACATTTCCTTCTGAAACGTTGATCACATCGATTTCCATGACATTTTTTCTTTGTTTGTACTTCATTTGGCAGTTGACGATCCACTTGAGGGTGTGGATCTGGGTTAAAAGAAGAACTAAATTCTTACTTACCCACAACCTACATCCATGCCCACACCCGCACCCACACCCACGCCCACCCACGCCCACCCACGCCCACCCACCCACGCCCACCCACACCCACACCCACACCCACACCCACCCACACCCACCCACACCCAAACCCACCCACACCCTTAATGATGATTCATTCGATTATCATTATAACGTGATTTCTTTGTTTGATGACGAATTTTATAATAATTTTGTCTTGTAAATAGATTTTTTGTTTTTGTTTCATATAATTTTAATTCAGAAGGATTTGTAACACCAATGTATAGAGATGTTTTTCGAGAAATTTTAGAAGTTGAGGTGTTGACTGCACGAAATTCAATATCAATTTGTTTAAGAATTGATTTAATTTGTTGTATACGAAATCGAGGATATATATTACGAAGTATCAGTTCATGATTATAATATCTTTTGCGTTGACGTAATGTACATGATCGATTATGAATCTTTTTTCGTTGTTCCACTGTTAATTCCTCTCGTGTTGGATATAAATCAGTTGTTGTACGACGAACAGGTGTTGATTGTTGAGATGTTGAATGTTGACTCGTCGTTATTGGATGAAATTGATTTCCAATCATGTGATTTTATTTGTGTTGAGATAGATGGTGGAATAATTGATTCTGATGAATGAGTCATAGGAGAATCATCTTGAGCTGTATCTAAAATATTATTATTTTCTAGAATTTCGATAGATGGAGCGCCTTGTTCAGCAATTAAATTAGATGTTTCATTTAATAAAGTATTATGTAATTGTTGTTGATTGTGGTAAATGATAAACTTCAATAATTATAACATATGAATTTAATTTTTGTCGTATTATTTGAAGTTGGATTAAAGTTGGTTGATTGGGTTGTTTATAAATACATATTGATTCAGTATCTAATGTAAATATATTTGAAATATTTATTGTTTCAATTAGGTGTATCAATGTTTGTTCAGTTGTAGCATAGTTAATAAAAAATAATTTATGAGATAATGGTATGAAAGGTGGATATGTTGATGTATATTCGTGCTCTTTAAGTTGTTTCTTGAATATTCGACAAAGATTTTGTCGGTGTTTACCAGTAATACTTGAAGGAATACTTTTAAGTTTATATTTAATATCTTCATACTCTTCTTGTGATAACATGTCTATAATGGAAGAAATATATATATAATAATAATAAATGTCGATTCTCAAAAAGAAAAGAATCTATTAATGATTATAATTAATCCTTATAAAGAATAGAATTCTATAGTCGAGTGTATTATTCAAAAAACATGCGAAGGGAAAATAAAATAAAATGATGATTCCAATTCATTCGTGTTTCATATGTCAATAGTTAATGTTACAAAATAATTATTTCTTTTCGATTCTCATGGATCCAGTGAGAATCTAGTAAGAATAAATGAATATTGAAAAAAAATACCCAATTTTATATTTCGCATAATAAAATAATAAAATATAAAAGAAAATACACCAGATTAAATATAATAGCCCTTCAAGGTCAGTGAATGGGGAAAATTCACACTCCCCGATCTTGCTATGCTACATCATATGTCATCGGATAATTTCAATGATAATTAATTATTCTATAGGGTTTGACATATTAATAAATTGGACGAATCTCTTTGTTAGAGAGGTTCTGGAATTAATAAATTCGTTCGAATATTGGAATTAACACATCAGTTGTAACTTGACGATGTAAGGTTGATTTCTTGATGTGTTGAACAATGAATGTTTTTGGTGTGAGTCTTTCAATAATTCTAAATGGTCCTTCATAACGAATATCAAATTTGTGGCGCATACTGAGTGTTTTAACTAGAACTAAATCGCCAATATTGTATAATGGATCAGAACGGTTTGTATCATAGCGCTGTTTGTATCGTTCTTGATTTTTTATAATATTAAGTTTTGCTTGTTCATTTAATTTTGATAAGAATTGATTAAGTTTTTTAACATATTCTGAATCATGTGTAAGTGTAACATTTGCATCTTGATAATCGAATGGTAAAACAGGTAATCGACCAAACATCATTTCGAATGGTATTTGTTTTGTTGATGAATGAATTGAAGCATTATAATTAAACGTAACAAATGGTAATTGATCATCCCAATCTGTTTTTCTGAAATTTGATAATGCTGCAATTTTTGCATCCATAGTTGAGTTTTATCTTTCAACTTGACCATTTGTTTGAGGGTGATATGGTGTTGAATATAAATGTGTAGCTCCAATTTGTTCAATTAATTCATCCATCAATGTTGAAGTAAAATGTGTTCCATTGTCAGTAAGAATACGACGAGGAGTTCCAAATTTTGAAATAATGTCTTCTTTAAGAAATCTAATAGCTGTTTGAGCTGTATTATCACGTACAGTCTTTGTAACGACGAATTTTGCTAAAACATCAGTAAGAGATATAATATATTTATTTCCACGTTGTGATGTCGGAGTAATAGGTCCATGAAAATCCATTGATACTAATTGTCATACTCCATCAGGAGGTTTAATAGGTCTTAAGGTACCAGGATTTTTTTGTCGGCGAGGATTAAATTGTGCACATGGAATACATGATTTAATATAATTATCAATATCTTTGTACATTGATGGCCAAAAATAACGTTGTTTAATTTTATGTATCGTTTTATCTCTGCCGAAATGAGCACCATTTGCTGCAGTATTTTCCATTTCAATTGAATTGGTATGTGAAAGTGTACGAGATTTTGAATTTGTAATAATAGTATATGGAAATAATTTGCTATTATTTTTCTTAACTTGAAATCTTGTTCCGGAAGCCGTTATGAAATTATTGTATATAGAAATAAGTAAATATGATGGCCAGTGATTCAATAATTGAATAAAAAACGAATCGAGTTACAAATAATGAATAATTGAATAAGAATGAACGAAATTTGTTTTTTTTTTTTGAATTTCTGATTATAATTTATTTAAGTCAATGAAACATTATGTTGTTTATTGATTTAAATTGGTATGACGTAATTTGAAGAAATCACAGACGAGTCTCGTTCTTGGAGGCTCTTAATCGAGTGTAATATCAAGTCTCTTTTATCTTAGAGGCTTTAGAAAAATATTATTGTTCGAGTTTCTATAATAGAAGCTCTATGTCATATAATAATAAGCAATATCCTATTCGAGTTGTTGTAAATGTTTAAGTGCAAACGATGTTGTTGGCCAGGGTCATCCGTTGTTAAGCTTGTTGTTTAGCCAGGGTCGCCAAATGTTAACGTTCGGTTGGTGAGGAACACTAGCTGTGTTCTTCACTCTAATGTTTTTCCCTAACCTTTTATTTCATGAAAACAAAACATATATATATAACATGAAAACAAAGACAAAAGAATAGATCAAGGGAGAAGAAAAACAATATCAAAGTG